GCTCCAAAATGATATATAGCTTGCTAAAATTGGGTTCGAAACAGCGAAGAAAAGGGTACCAGAGCCAAATGCCCCGCGCCCCGCGCTTGGGGTAGCGAGGTAGCGCGCAGCGCGCGGAGACGCAGACGAGCAGCGGAGAGAGACCAGAGCCGGCGGGGCATTTGGCTCTGGTCATTGATCTCCGCGGGGTCATAACGAAACCCTATAATATTATATATCGTTGTGATCCTCATGACACGGCCAGGAGCACTGACAACGTCGCGGGTCTTGAATCTCACTCCATAACGAGATAGACCAGCATTTATGTGGCGACTCTCTGCGCAAGATTTCAGCGCAGTTTCTCGTTTTTGTTGAACTCCAGCGGCTTTCATGAACCTCCAACGCTCAATTGCAGTCTATAGAAAGGTTAACTGATAAGTTTTATCCTAATTTCTAACTGAATTTTTGAAGAAAAACCCTCTTTTCAGCAAAAAAGGCCATGAAAACGCAATCTTTCGGTTTTTTGAGCTTTTCCTTGGATGTCACTACTATATTTGCCTCATTCACATTCATCCTTACATAGTTAGTCATTAGTTATGTCATAATATCCGGGGCTTCGCCCCGGATGACTTGTACTCCTCTCCAGGTGAAGGTTGTGTCCTCTCATGACACTCAAAGTGAAGGTTACCAGAGTACGTGGCTCTATGTATCGAAGGTATGACCTTAACAATCAATCAAGATAACGGTTAATCAAGATATGGCATCATATGTACAAAGAAACTTTATCTCGGAATTTAAATGTCAGAATGGGATTGTCCAATATGTCATCTACTTCTTATATCCATGATTATATTGGAGTATTAGATACTCGGAACATCATTAATGAACTTCTGCCATTTCTAGAAACTTAAATCTCGAATCCAATTGCGTATGTATATAATCCAATTTACCCTAATTTCACGCGTATAGGACGCGGGGGATTTTTTTCTAATGTCGAACAGCACAGACACGCCGAAGGACGACGACCAAAAAATTTACACTCCTGCATATTGTTGCTGCATATTGCCTGAGAGTATCGTGCTGCATAAGTCTCGTTCCCAAAACACCACGAGGCGGCTGAACAGTACGCTTGAAAAACCGAAAAAGTTGCGTCTTATATGCAAGGAATTAAGGAAATCAAATCCAAATATTTATTTTATACCTTTGTCACATAAGAAGTTTGAATTTGTTACAGCTGGTTTGAACACTAGCACTAAACCCTTATCAGAAGAACCAATGCGCACGTTTACCCGTTCCAAAATTTCAAAAACTATGCTAAAATCAGAAAGCATTAACAGAGATTGCTTAGATACTTACTGATCCATGAATGATATTAGTCTTTCCTACCAGCCGTATCGACTAACCTTAAACTATTTTAGCTTTACCAATATAGTTACAAACAGTCCTCATGAATAGCAATCCAAACTCAAAGAAATTCTCGAAATATGTCCCAAAATAGTAATAGTCAGGGTCAAGCAAAAGGTGTGGCACACAAGCGTCGGATACGACCCCCCCCCCTCTCCCCCTATTTTTCTCGTCCGTTAGCATGACATAAACTTATCCGTAATTATCATGTCAAATGACTACCACGGATCAAGTTTTAGCAAATTTCGAGCTTCTCGGTAGTGGACCACCCAAGTGAAGTGATCATTTTCAAACATGATTAACTATACTTCAAAAGTGACTAAACTAAGCCTTTTGTACTCAACACAAAGCACTACTTTTCCCATACCATGAATCCTGCTTCAAATAATCATCAAATTATGGAATTAGAAGCAGGCAAAAACCTCGTTTGTCCCAATTTTCGCTTTCAATGACTGCGCTTTCACCAGCTTTTACTCAGAGCGAAGAAGATGAATAGGCCCAAATTACTCCTATGAAAACTACAAGGCTCAAACTATCAAACTATATGGTATCTTGTTCGCTAAAATTCTTTTTGAAGGCAAATTAATGGGGTGTGGCACAACCCATAAAAAGCTGTGGCGGCCACAGCTTTTTAGGGTTGTGCCACACCCCATTAACATGCTTTCAAAGCGTTCAGATCCCTGCCTTTTTTATGTAATTGCTACTGCTAAATCTTCTCCACATAGCAAGAAATTCATTCAAAATTGTTACTTTTAGGGAAAGATTTAGTCGCTTTTCCTTAGCTAAGCAAACGGAAAACACTGCGAAAATATTGGATTACGGTAATATGCTAGTCTGCGCTACTATGAATCGCGTGAGTAAACGGCAAGAACAAGTACGTTCGATGGCCTGATCCTCCTTCTACAAAAGTGATTTGAGACTAATTGGTCTTCTCTAGGTCTGAGAAATTAAAAGCGAAAATTAGAAAACGAAATTTTGGCTTGCTCTTAATTCCAGGGTTTGGAGGTTAGTTGAAGTGAGATTTGCAATAGCAGAGAATAGTACCTTGTAATGAGTGCAAAAAGAAGTGGCTCACTTTTAAAAGAAGTTAGCATGTCGAAAATGGCCACTTCATGTACCTTGCTTCACATAAAACTTCGCTATAAACCACCCAAAAATAAGATCCTGTCCAAACCATTTAGTTTTTTGATTGACTCATTAACAAAACATAATTTCTAAAAGAAATGTACAAAAATATATGTAAAATATATGGTTATATGTTACCTATAACATAATTAGCATTGAGTTGTACACATCACAATGATATAGAACGTGACTTCCTTGATTTGCAAATAAAAATTCAAATAATAAAATTATTACACAAGCAACACTTCACGTCCAAAGTTATTGGCTTTACGCATGCTTCCTCGTATGTAAGTGTTAATATTAAATCGTCAGGCCAACGTCAGGCTGGTCGTTCAATGGAAGTTGGCTGAGGAGGACACCCCGTCGCATTAGAATGGTTTTATGTTCCAAAAAATCTTCGAGTCAAAGCTAGGGCGTTCCCCGAAGGCGAGCGAACTCTGGTGCGACGAATGCGAACCTGTATTCTAGGGCTACCGTTTCAACAAGTGTGCGAGGAAGGCGGCCAGAGAAGCTGGTCCAACATAAGCACGGATACATAATCTCGGAAAAGCTACGTCTAGCCGGCTTGACGTTGGATCTCTCACAGCTTGATATCGGGAATTAACAAATCTTCTCTGAAGGAGCTTAGACATTGGGTGCCATTTACAGCAGCTTCTTTGTTGACCTTACGATATGTGTAATGTAGGAGATAGAGAGTTGCTGATTCTTTAAAATGGAATTAATATTATTAGTATGCTGTTTATGATAGTTATTCTCAGTTCTGGTGGAGTTGCGATATGCACCAACCTAGCACCTTTCTTCTTCACTTACCTCGATCGCAGTCTTACCTCAGTTTTTCGAATGAATTTGATTCTTGATTGCTACCCCCCCCCCCCCGCAGTATTGCCCATGAGGCCTCGGACAGAGTTCAGCGATTTGATCGTCGCGATTCAATCGCCGCGATTTCCATTCATCTTCATTTTACATTCAAAAATTTCGGGCTGGAAAAGTATCACAACCGAAATGTAAGCTGGTCGGCATGCAATGAACCCGTAACAGTTGTCCTGTCGCGATTGACGCGACGATCAAATCGCGTGAACTCTGTCCGAGGCCTAATACGATTCCCAGTCGGGCACTTCTAACCCCACGCTCAACCCTGGTTATAAAGCTACGGCTGCTCTTGCGGTGAAGAATGGAGAGGCATGCGCGAATTCTCAGACACTCGTGTATAGATAACGAGGAAATGTTGAAACTTCTAGAAAATTTCGTTTATGATGCAGTTGTAAACACTCGGCTATGCCTTGTTAACATCCAGGTCAAATAACATCAAATTCTGAAATAACATTGATTTTACAATGCCAACGAATTTTTTTCATGTTCTGTTGATCCATTGAACGGAATGGAAAACATAGGGTCTTTGCGTCATATTGTCAATATCCAACTTTTTATTGAAAGTATCCAGAATTGCAGTGCATTACGATAATGCACACATCTCTTTTTGCTATACAACAAGTATTAGGTTGATGCATAATTCTTGCACCAAAATAGGTACAGACCGCAATAACTCAGAATAATCCTATATCCCAAGTAGGATTCGATGTATCATTTGATAGCGCAAACCTAGCTCTACAAGATAGTGCTCAAATATCTACACCAGCTTTGATTTACGCGAAGTTTTGAACCAAAAACTGAAAAAAACCATGCGTCCGAAAACCTTGAGACAGATCTTAAAAAAATTGTAACTTCGTTCAAAAAGCTCATACAAATTTTCTTTCTTGCTCACGCGTAGACGTTCCACGTAAGACATTTATCTATGCGGTTGCTGTATTTTTTTCTCAACTAGGCGATAAAAAAACGAAGTTTTTTGAAGTTTTTCATGTTTTTGCCAAATTAGTGCTGAGATGTTCTAGTATCAACAGTTGTATAGTACATGCCGTTAGCAGTAAAACTTTACATTTTCAGCCTTCTGGAACAGGTAGTTCACGAGAAATAACGAATCTAGCTCTCCTTATCCAAATTTTTCTTGCCTAGTTGCTAAAAATGCGATATTTCTCGTAAACCAGCTGCTCTAAAGAGCTGAAAATTCACATTCACGCTTCTAAGGTTCTATACTATACAACTGTCAGTGCTAGAACATCTCAGCATTGTTTTGGAAAGAACATAAAAAACTTCGTTTTTTCATCGTCTAGTTGAGAAAAAAATACAGCAACCGCATAGATAAATGTCTTACGTGGAACGTCTATGCGTGAGCAAGAAAGAAAATTTGTATGAGCTTTTTGAACGAAGTTACAATTTTTTTAAGATCTGTCTTAAGGTTTTCGGACGCATGGTTTTTTTCAGTTTTTGGTTCAAAACTTCGCGTGGATCAAAGCTGGTGTAGATATTTGAGCACTATCTTGTAGAGCTAGGTTTGCGCTATCAAATGATACATCGAATCCTACTTGGGATATAGAATTATTCCGAGTTATTGCGGTCTGTACTTATTTTGGTGCAGGAATTATGCATCAACCTAATAGTACATCTTCATGCCGATGCTCATGCTTTGTAAAAAGGTTGAGTTAGAATTCCAGTGTCTTGGCACCTTTTGCGGTCTGCGAAACTGATGCTATCTTCGAAGAATTTTTTTTACGAACGAGACCCAGCTTTGTGAGAGCTTCCTGTTGGATTGTGCGATTCAGTGCTAGGTACACGATAGCAGGAAAACCTGAAATTACCAATTGCTAATTGAATTACAACATCTTGCACCCTACCATGTCCGAGTTGCCAGCAAATATGGCCGATGAGAACAAGATAAGAAGATGTAGGGAAGAATTGCATGAATACATAGATCAACGACGCTGTAAGATTAGCGCCGCATATGAGCGCACATTGTATAAAGAACTAAAACTTTACTTTCATCGCAAGTCTCACTCTGTGTTTTTATTGGGAGTGGCGGGTGAAGAATGGAGCTTCGATTGACGATCAAGCAAAAGACATGCAGAGCCTAGAACCCACCTACCACCCGCCACTCCCACTGATACCGACGGTATATCCATTCACCCACCGACTTCTGCGCCCACGACACTCCACTACCAATTTTAGAATAGTGCAAAAGCACTCGTGAGTAATACATGTAGAACGCACATGTGATTACTACCACGAAGAGGTTATTGGCTGTGTGTGGATAATTGTAGTACTGAAACAATAAATATTAGGTTGGGACCGAAAGTTTGTTCGCAACCTTTTCAAAAATTCACAACTCTTTAAATTCTTAACGAATTTGTACGATCAAAAATTTGTCTAAGAGAGAAACTCATGCTCTTTGCATCTGTTCCTGAAATGTTTGTCAATGTATACAAATGAAGGAGATAGAAGTTCAAAACCAAAATCACTCAAAATTTGAATTTTCCGCGTAGAGTCATAAAAAATCGACCATGCAACAAAAATCGGAGCAGTCGGTATTGTAGGTTCTTTCACCAGCTCTTTCCAACAGTGCAAAGTCTGCGCCGATTGAGCGTCTTTATGAAAAGTTATGATTTCCCTGAAAAATGCCAAAATAAATCGAATTCGCCCTTTCATATTGCTTGCTCGAAAATCATAACTTTTCACAGAGACGCTCAATCGGCGCAAACTTTGCACTGTTGGAAAGAGCTGGTGAAAGAACCTACAATACTGACTGCTCCGATTTTTATTGCAAGTTTCCGATTTTTTATGAGCCTACACGAAAAATGCAAATTTTGAGTGATTTTGGTTTTCAGCTTCTATCTCCTTCATTTGTACACCTTATCGAACAGTTCAAATACAGATGCAAAGTACATGAGTTCCTCTCTTAGGCAAAATTTTGTTCTTACAATTTCGTTAAGAATTTAAGGAGTTCTGAATTTTTGAAATTGGTGCGAACGAACTTTCGGTCCAACCTAATATCACTTTGTTGATAATGTTTATGTCATTTTTTGTTGATTATATGGAGACTTCTTTGAAACGTCATTTTTTGCGTTCCGAAATTAACGGCTTTTTGAATTTATTTGCACTACGCTGCAATGTCTCTATACCTTCTGCTAGAATGTTCCCATTTCATAACTGAGAAAACTACTGCATGCAATCTTTACGCTTGCGAGGATCAGCCGTTTACCAGACTGATGCTTTATTCCTCTCAGGTTGCTCTGGTACCAATTCATCACGGGGGCTCGCGAATATTAAAGTTTCAACTACGATTTGCCTTAGAGGAACCTCGTAGCTCTTGCCAGATAGTACTTGCTTTTTTCAAAAACATCAAACAGGTCTACCTGCGCCGCATCATGTTGTGGAACAAACGTGTAGAAGAACCATGCAGTTTGATCAGAATTGAATAGAACGGGTGCGGTAAAGAAGCAGAAATAAAGACTGTACAAGATGGGTATGATTAGCACGATATAGGTTCTTCCGTTTTTAAACAACTAAAACTTTGAATATAGAATTGAATAATGATAAACTGACTACGAGGCGTTTGTTGATGTTGATGTTTTTGGCAAAAAAACTGATTAGGTTTTGATAAACACACACGGTATTTCCGGTTAGGCTTTCGGTCGAGCGGAAGAATCCGTGAATTAATGCATAGTGGTAAAGCGGCTCATTGTTCAAAGTGATACTTACCGCTTGAAGCATAACTTTGTTGCAGACGTCAAATAGGCGATTCAGAACCAATATGAAACAAATCAGGCAAGCTCCACACCATAATGCTGAAACATGCAAGTGTATGTGTTTACACCACAAAGTTACGATTCAAGCTTGCTGTGGTACAGTTTGCCGTGGTGGAGACGGACAAGCAGTCTTGCCTTTTTGCTGTTATCGATATGTATCTACAATGTTCCTGCTTCCTCCGAATCGGCGTGCGGGCCTCAGTCTAACACGTGAAAGACGACATCACTTTAGGTACACTACGCACAAGACCACCACGGTTCCCGCAATTTTTATCTTTATCTTTGTCTTTCAATCTCGTGTGCCAAAACCAGTGTAAGTAACAAAAACATTGCTAGGGTAAAACAGGCTAGCCTGCCACCTTCATCCCGGAACAAAAAACAGTAACTAAGGAACCCAGATGTTGAGGAAGAGAAGTCTATTTGGTTTAGGGAGGTCAGGTGATTGCATTGGGGAATGCCACTGTCACTTTCCTGGGCTGTCCAAAACGACTGCAATTGGTTCCACCAACCTGACACCACCGACACTTGAATACACCTGCATTAATCTGATTTTGAGAAAACTATGCGATCTGAAACGCAACTGTATCTCCAAACTAAACACTGCAAATATTGCATTTTAGCGATGCAAAAAGTTTTCCTGTTGAGGCTGCGCTATATACCAACTACGGGTTGTTTCATACTGTCGCATTGACTACAGCAGACTGCACTGACCGCAGCAGACAGCAGCAGACTGCAGTAGACTGCAGCTGACCGCACTAACCGCAAGGACCGCACAGATGTCTGCATTCTTTCGTAAGAGAAAACAAGTGCGATCAGTCAAAACACCTTGCGCCTAGGAAGTTCATAGGTTCTGACTTACTCTTCTCAAACAGGTTTTGGCTTGTTTTTCTTTGGTGTGATTATATCTGTTCTGATTCCTCATTTTATTGTGTATACCTGTTTTACTCCCGTTCGTGTTGTCTTTTGGGTTAGGCATATAATGTTTTGATTGTTTGGGCTACAACTATTTATCCTCTCCACCTTTACGAAAGAATGCAGCGGTCTGTGCAGCCCTTGCGGTCAGCGCGGTCATGCAATCTGCTGCAGTCTGCTGCGGTCAGTGTGGCAGTCTGAAACAACCCTAAACTCTCTCCGATTTCCAACGTAATATGCTGTTCGGAATCAGCGTTTAAGCTCAATACTGCAAAAAAAAACTGAAAAATTGTCTGGGAGTTGCGCATTTGAATGTCGCCGATTTTCAAACGCTATAAAAGTAAAAAAGGACACATCTTATATATAAAGCTGAGCAAAAACCAGACTTCTGCCTCTGGAGGCAGAAAAGTGGTCACGAGGGAAAGACGGACCCATGAGCTTCTTGCGATAGGAAATTATCTTCTCTGAAAATTTTGGCCTCTTGAACTTCGCTAAAGCCACACTTTTGTCCCTAGAAACAAAAAAAAACAAAAAAACAGGGAGCTTGTCTCGAGGGCAGAAAAGACTCAGGGCTCAGGCAGCAAGATATTTGCGCTAAAATTTTTTGAGTGACAATATTTAATTATAAAGAAACTAAGCTGGAAAAATTAAGGCCCCTTCTTCTCAACCATACTTCTGCCCCTAAAAGCGGAAGCATAAGGGGCTTGGTTTCGAGGGAAGGAAAGACCTAGGGTTTTATGCGACAGGACAGTTTCGGTAAGATTGTCCTTCAAAGGAAGGCGTTGGGCCAGCTTTACTCTGTTCTAAGAAATGAGTCCGTTCACTGGCAAGACATCATCGAAGAAATACTGCTTCGTTTTTATCTACATATCTGAGTTTTTGGCTGCTGGAAGACATAACTTCTTAGATAATCGCCGGGAGCGGCGGTCAAGAGTAATTAAACCATCGATGACATCTCTGCCATGTAGAGTCTCACCTTTGCTCTGCGTACGCTCGAAACTGCTTAAAAACCGTCCGAGCGCCAGCTGAAAATCTGACCGGCGCTCGCTGAAGAGATTATTTGAGACGAGCGCCTGCAGAAAATTCTGTGTTGCTGCCCGCTGGCAGAACATTAGACAGTCAAAGGCAGTACCGCCAGCTAAAGGTTTGCAAGCCCCAAAATTCTGCTGACCGCTTGCAGAAAAGCGGGAGTTTGCGGACCGCCTGCCCCCGGCGATTATCTGAGTTGACGCTTCCTTAACGTGGCACTTTCCTGGAAATCAATCTGAATTTTGGGATGAATCAGCTGTTCTAAACGGGTCCTTGGAGGTAGCTTCCTTGTTTAAGAGCTGTGGTATCTGGGCGAAGGTATCTGCAAGAGAAACAGCAGAGATGCTTTGCGAACAGTCACTGGTAGTAGCTTCTTTTCCTAAGAGCATAGTGTTTTGTTTCTACTATCACAACACGGGAAAGATCGCTGGGAAAATGGAAATTCTCTTTTTTGGGATTTTTAGTTGATTAATGGCAGATATCAATGTATCTGCCCCCACACACTTACTAGCGACCCTACGGGTCGCTAGTCTTATATATAAAGCTGAATGTCTGTTTGTCTGTATGTCTGTATGTATGTACGTATGTTCCGAATCAAAAAATTTTTTTCTGAACCGATCCGGACCAAACTTGGCATACGGGGCGGGGTGGGTGTCGAGGCTACTCTTCGTTTTCGATCGATATCGATTTTTTGCAAAGTTTAAGCTACGGTAGGGAGTTACAGGGGTTAAGTGAACATGCTGATTACGAATAATTTGTTGACAGGAGGGGCGAAGCCAGGTTTGCTACCTAGTTCTTTATAATCAAGATATAGTTGGCACACTTACAAAAACAACTTACACATGCCAATCGAGCCTGTAATATAGATAAGATTAGGATTTGTGCAGTAGTTGGATCCTTTAAGCCAGAAATATCCTGTCAAAATTGAATTGATAGCAATGGCTAACATATCAAAAACTCCTAAATAGTTCTATAATTACTTAATACTATAGTTGTACTTGGTTCAATTTTACCTAAAAGAATCATAATCTTGTAGCAAGAAAGACGACGATGCTCCTTTTTCGTCATGATGATCATATCCAGGAGATATATGGACTGAACCTTTACATATATACACAAGTATAATGGGAAATTAAATATGTCCATGATTACCTCAGCAATTACTCCGTATATAATGAACGCGAAACCTAGCACTTGGCTCGTTGCTCCTGGCCTCCTATCAGATGTTCTGAAAACTTAGGTTGAAGGTAAATTAGCTGAATACAATAGAAAACTGTGAAGATATATGCAAATAGCCATTATTTTTTCTGTGCAGTTTACTAATAAATTGCAACTGACTGCAAAGAGTTAATAGCTAACTTAGCAGCCTATCACTGTGGTCGTGTGAACAGACGTGGACAGAATGCTGTACGTCCCGCAAAATACTAATATTACTGTAATTTCTCAAAATTCGTAACACATGATGAATGTCTGCTTTTTGACGTCTCTTCGGTGTCAACGTCAAGGGTTTGAAATCACCTTGAGAGAGGATGGTCGCCAAACATTAAAGGCAGACAAAGGGGTCTTTGTTCTCAAAATCAACGAATACACGGGTTACTTACTCCAAATTTTGGATTTTGGGGGACACACAACTCAGCTTGCTAAACGGCGGAAGCCTTCGCGGCAAAGTGTTGCTCTGCCGACTTTTGATATTAAAAATGACATCAAGTGGTTGGTGAAAAGAAGTGAGCAAGAATAAATAATGGCAGTAAGCGCACAAGTGATTGATATGTTGTTTTCATTTGTTGTCAGGTTCTTTGAATAGATTTTCTCAATGATCAACGGATAAAAAACTAAAAGAGAAGAAGATGTCAAAACTAGATTTTTTGTTTTCTCGGATTATTCGGCTTCCAGTGAATTTTTCGAACAACTTCTCAGAAAATGAGAAAATCACAACAGTAGTTTGGTATAGCAGATTTGAGCTTCTTCTGGACGCATACAAACATTCGACAAGTGCTTTGCAAAATATTGAGAAAAAGCTAAAACAAAAAATGCGAACAGACTTATCGCACACCAAACACTTGTTATGTCATCGATTTCATCCAGGCTCTCTTTATTTTGATTTTTTAGCATAGGGAAAACTATGGAAGTGAGTGCGAATTGTTAGGTTATACTTTATTGGAACTGACAGAGAGAAATTCGAAACAACACTGGCTTATAATACATACCAATATCATAAAGAAACTTGAGCCTGCGCCCAGAAAAGCCTGCGCTTGCGTTGGCTATACTTTATGCCAATTACCTATTCCTCGTGCTTGTACATTTTCCCTAACTTTTAGGGTGAATAGATGGAGAGCCGCAGTAATCGAATTCGATCAAACTCCCTTTCAAAGAGAAGCTGTTGAAAGCGATCTTCACCTGCAATCGTAGCCTGGTATGTTCTCTGCGTTTCCACCAAATTTTATGAACCACTCCATTTTATCTATAAAAGTGTCAGGTAAGAAAGAAATAAGGCACATGTATTATATATTATTGTAATTATGAAATGAGTGGAATTTTCTGCATACACGGTCAGAACGAGATGATAATGGATACATACGCTAAATGTTGAATGGCAACGGAAAACTTACTAGCAAGGTTCATATATCAAAGTGGTCAATCCAAACAAGCTGCATACCTTAGGTGCAGCATAAAACGCTGACTTCGAATCCGTGTTCTATATCTGCTTAGCGCCTATGTGGGTGAAGTTATGAGCCGTTGAAGGCCGCTATATTGCTAAATCGTGCATGCAAAGCGCAAATTTGGCAGTGCACAGCCAAGTTCGACTTAATGGTGGGCCAAGTAGTTAGGTAACTTTAAATTTTTGAGGCCTGAAGGTGAGCTGAATGTTAGCTGAATGCAACAATGTACTCAATTTTGCAATTTTCATGATTTTTTGCATCAAAACTGCTCATAATTCTTTCCACAAAGGCGCTAAGCAGATATGGAATACAGATTTAAAATCAGCGTTGAATGCTGAATGGTAGGCAGCTTGCTTGGATTGGCCGCTTCAACTTTTGACCATTCCCTCGTGAGCACCAAAAGCTTTGAAGCTCCTTGATTTCTTACCTCTAACAATAAGAAGCGCTTCATCGCTAGAGAGGTCTACAGCTCTATTTCCTTTGCTACAACTTGATGGCACACTTGATTATAAGATGACGTGGATTATATAGAAGTCCTTGCGCAGAACCTCAACCTCACCACTTCCTTTTCTGAGCAGTTTTCACTCAGACACGTCAGGTACATGATTGCGCTTTGGGTTTTCTCGTAAGGTCCAGCGCATACTTCACGTCAATCACTAAGCAACTGGCTTCTTCCCAGATATCTTGAGCACCATCCGGTGATTAACTATATGATGTGTATAACTTTCGCAGATTGATTAAATGATTATCTTGTGTGCTAATGCGCATAGGATGAGTTATTAGGTTACTCAATAGATAAATTCAATTTTTGGGAACATTTTATTCTGAATCACAGAGGTATTACCGGACCAAAATCGCGCGAAGTATGCCAGTGACCTGAGAGCGCTGATCTCAGCCTGTTATTTCAAGCCCAAATGTTCGTAATTCAATAAGAACTTCAGTATTCCGAAATCATCTCTGTTTATTGTTTTATTTGTGCATAATCCCGTGAAAGCAGCCTCTATGATTACATTTAATCCAATCCAGTTCGCTATTTTTGGGTTTGTTTGACTCAAAGCCGAAGTTCACCTCCTTTCGAACAGCTAGGAGTAACTATGGCTTTAGGGAGATATTAGGTTTATGCATAATTTTTGCACCAAAATAGGCCGCAGTAATCCGGAATAATCCTATATCCCAGATAGGATTCGATATTTCATTAGATAGAGCAAACCTAGCTTCAAAAGAGAGTGCTCAAAGATTTGCATCAGCTTTGATCCAAACGAAGACTGAATGCAAAAACGAAAGAGATCCAAGCGCTCCAAAAAACCAAGAAAAAATTGGAAGTCCGTTCAGAAAACTCCTTCAAAATTCCTAACATGCTCATGCATTGCCATTTAGTATAAGATATTTGTCTACGCAGTTGCTGTATTTTTCTCTCAGCCAGAAATTGAGAAAACGAGGTTTTTCATGTTTTTTCCAAAACAATGCTGAACGTTCTAGCACTGACAGTTGTATACTATAGGACCTTAGTGGCGCGAGTTTTCCAGCTTTTTACAGCAGCTGGTTTGCGAGAAATATCGTTTTTAGCAAAGGCCAGAAAAAATCGGATAAGGAGAGCTAGATTCGTCATTTCTCGTGAACTAGCTGTTCTAAAAGGCTGAAAATATAAAGCTTTACTGCTAACGGCCTGTACTATACAACTGTTAGTGCTAGAACATCTCAACACTAATCTGGCAAAAACATGAAAAACTTCGTTTTCTCGTCGTCTAGCTGAGAAAAAAATATACAGCAACCGCATAGGCAAATGTCTTACGTGGAATGTCTATGCGTGAGCAAGAAAGAAATTTTGTAGAGAGGCTTTCTGAACGGAGTTACAATATTGTTTTGATTGGTCTTAAGGTTTTCGAACGCATGGTTTTCTTCAGTTTTCGGCCCAAAACTATGCGTGGATCAAAACTGATGCAGATATTTGAGAACTATCTTGTAGAGCTAGGTTTGCTCTATCTAATGATTTATCAAATCCTATTTGGGATATAGGATTATTCCAGATTATTGCGGTCTGTACCTATTTTGGTGCAGGAATTATGCATCAACCTAATAGTTCCAACGTTCCTCGTTTGCAAGAGTTTATGTTTTTTCAAAACCGGTAGTAGTCTACTCTGGAAATGGAAAGCTACGACGTTGCTGATCGAGACCAAGCTAGTTCAGAAGTTTTCTCGCTCACAAAACATCAAACCGATCAAGAGAAGCCTAAATAACGGCAAATTTGGTAATTTCAACGGAGAAAAAGTTTTAGATTCGGTGACTGATTGATTGCTGAGACATGAGCTGGATAATGCATTACGCAACTCACAAACGCCGTCAGTATCTCGACATGGTAGGGGCAGGTCGGGGTGCTGGTAACTTTCTTCCCTCAAAAGAGTACAGTGTTTCTCTGACCTGCCAGCAACTCTCACAGCGCAAACTGGGTGTTGGCCCTTCTGAACCTGCCCTAATCGCGACGGCTATAAGAGGTCAGCGCTAATTAGAGGTCACTCCATGATTGGCTAGCTCGCGGGAGCGAGCAGCTGACCTAGGCAGACGCGCTGCGGAGGCGGACGAGTTTCACATCGTTGAAAACCTACTCCACAATGAGATTCTGGAAGTAATTCTCTAGAAAATTCCTAATTCCCCCAAATTCCTTAGAATTCAATAACTTAAGTTATTCGCTGTACTCTACACTACTTAAATCGCCGGCTACTTTCTAAGGTGGTATGTTTTTGGCCTATAAGACATTTTCAAGTTTTTTTCGGCTTATTTTACTGGTTTTTTTAGTTCGCTTGCTTGCTCTACTCTCCTAGGTCTTTGTGAGTTCGTTGCATACTCTACTCTCCTACGTTTGCCTCCTTGCAGCACCATCTAGTCACATTCAATTGAAATGTGCACTACATGCATGCCAGTAGGGAAGCATACGTTTTTTTATGATGAGTTTAGTTTTTTTGTGAAGTTTTTCTTACACCGTCCATATCAAAAACGCAATCAGATAAAAATTGATCACCGTCATTTGGTAGCGTGATCTACATGGATTGACTTTGGTAGCGACCTTTTCTTTGCTGCACGCAACATGCTTTTCAAAGCGTAAAAATTTCAAATGCACGTTCGTAAATTTTACTAGGAATGAGAATTTTAAGGAGATGATAATTTTCTTGGAAAGCTACAGAGATGCACTGAAATGTCAGAAGGAAATACGTATTTGATAACGAATTAGCGTAGATCACAAATTTAAGTTATAATTGGCCTTTATAAAGAGTTGCTACACAAACTTTGATTACGTGGGCTTTCCTCAATAACATCAAGCAGCTCCCATTAGCAATATGATGTGACGATGCACGAGGTTATAAGGATCGCACACACAAGGGATATAAGTGGAAAAAAAGCGAAAAAAAACAAAGTTCGAAAAAATTCAAAAGGGATTCATGAGAAGTTTTTTATGCATCATGGAAATGAAAAGACTTCGGAAATGTCCCATAAATCATAAACATACCTGCTTGGAAGTAGGGAAATCATAAATTTACCTGCTGGGAAGTAGGGCTCAGAATACCAAACATTCAGAGGATGGTAGCTGTGTTTGGTTGAAGGTCAGCATGATTGGCTTGCATTCCACAATGCAAGAGCCGCACGAAAAGAGGTGGTGATTTTCGAAAATGCGAGCCCTTCGCGGAGCACTCGTCCGCGGTCATCGCAGCGCATGCGCGCGCGTCCTAGGTTCTAGATTACTGTGGGGGACGGTGGGTTCAGAAGGGCCGTCTCCCCGCAAACTTCGACAAGGTGCCTTGGCGGCAGGTTAATTTGCAAAGTTGCCAGCAGCACCTCCTGGCCTTCTTGATGTTTTTTATAGGGGAAGGTCAAATCTCAAATTGCTCTGCAGTTTCCTTCGGAGCCGTATGGCAATCAAGCAGACATTTTGTGAAGGTTTTTACAGGATAGATGTGGGATCTTAGTTTTCGACGACTTTACGTCGAGTTGACGGCGGGCTGACGGAAAGAACTGCGCCAAGTCGGGGATTACTACCGGACCTAAAATGTTTCAGTCGCTTCGTAAAATCTTAGCAGGTAACAGACTGATTGATAATTGAAAACATCTTTAGCCATATCAAATGAAGTTGATAAATTGATAACATTTGGCACTGCTGGAGTAAGCATTTAGAAACGAGCAAATTTGCAAACATGTGCTCCACTTTTTACTACCGATATACGACCGCCTCTGAGTGAGCAGCAAACTTTTTCTGATTATGTGCGGCCGCGAAATTTGGTCTTCGATTATTTCGATTCCAGCGATTCGTCCGACTCGCTATTAGTTTTGGAGCCCATCAAAATAACACGTAGAAATCATCTGAAACTTAGCTGCTTGAAGGCGAAAATTCGTGGACATCATACGAAAAGTAATATTAAAGTTAGTCGTATGTAAGGTAACAGAACACTGGATTTGTGATGTACAAGCAAGCAAAACTCGTTTTATGACTTGTTCAGACCGCATGGGTCAAAGAGACAAGCGAGAGGGTTCGCCAGGATTCTTTCTGTACTTCAACAAGAAAACTCTAGCCGGAGTGATTCTTGAACGAACACTCATTAGTGAGAGGTGCCATTAATTTTAAAAAACAATTGTAGTTCATACATTCAGTCTGCGTAGTAGGACAGGGCAGTTTTCATGTGTTAATTGCTTTAGACTATAATCGTCACGAGTTTGATTGGACTAATCATTAGTCTTGGGTCTTTCGGTGATTGTAGTTTGTTATAGGACTTGAAATACGAGATGCATAGCTAAACGGAAAGAGAATCGTATAAATTAGCCATTTTTCCAGGAGATGGAGTAAAGTGTTGCGAATTTTAAGATGGAGTGATAATGATGGAATTTTTGCAGTCTCAATGGAAAAAAATCAACATTGGTACAGCGCAATAGTTAGACATAGACACATGTATGGATTTCTACAGAAAGGGAATAGGTAAAAAGTACAGCGGTGGATTGCAGGAAATGAATGGGAAATGTTATCAGCGTGTCCCATAACTTCCGTCTGTTTACACTTTTAACCCCAATAAGTCGTATATAAATTTTTGGATAGTTGTCAAGCTACCGTCGATAGGGCAAAGCAAGCTCTACATGATGACGTTCTCGCTTCTGCATTGGCTTCAAAGCCAACTAAAAAGATTCAATTGCCCACGAAATCGAAAAATGTAGCTCTGTCTAAAAAAATCCTTATTTCCTACGTACCCTTTTCATATCAGACATTTAAGTACACCGCTGCTGTATTTCCTCCTCGGTCAGAAAACAAGAAAACGAAAATTCACTTTTTATCATAGTTATCCTGTGCCTTTTCCATATGAATATTTGTATACTACAAACCTGTATAAGTACAATCCTTTTCAGCTTCTCACAAGCTTAAGATTTTGAGAAATGTTGAAATAGGCTTTCCTCGCTCGGATGTTACACTAAATCCCATATTTCACAAAAATCAGAGCTCGCAGCTGAAACTTTATGTTTGTATTACTGGTTTGTATTACTTGGAAATTAACATAGGTTACTGCATAAGTTCTGTCCAATTTGAATTTTTCGGGTTTAAATTGTCATGCTTCTTTCAAAGTCAACTTTTTTCCAAGGTCTTAGTTTCTATGCGTTGTTGTGTTCCTTGATTATCAAAGGCATATTGAGACCTGCGCACATCCTTGTTAAGGAAGAAGCAAGAGTTCAAAACTTCACAGCGTTTTTCTTCAAACCTGTCTTTTTTGACACGGCAATGCTCCCTTATGAAAATTGATAGGCATCTTCTTTAACAATGGATAGGAGAGAAATTCTTGCAGATTATTTGAAAAGTCTTCCTTTCTTGTAACCTGGGCATTCTAGTATAACTTCACTTAATCTTCTGTGCCGTACAGGTTTTTAACGATGACACACTTTATTGCCTGACGTTTCGGTTACACACCGTCTTCAGAGGCCTGGAAAGGTGTCAGTCACATTGATATTACTCTACTTGCTGCCAAGCCCTTCTCCCATCTGCGCACTCGATTCGTCTAGGATGAAGATCGAGAGGCTGGGCGTAGAAATCTACCCACCGAGTGTGTCACCAGTAGCAGTGTTATCTGCTTCAGAACTTGCTCGATGGACTGCAGTGACGAAATGAGCAGTCGGAACACTCTGAGGCTGCTTAAGTATAGATCAGCTATCTCATAGTTCGCATAACGCAAGATACGGCAATAGATCACTTGTGATAGAAAGCTTTTCATTCTTGCCGTTCATTTTCGGATCCCGGGCAAGTATATAGGACGCCTCTAAAGCCTTTCGTGCAGAGATTTGATCTTCCAAAGCTAATATTTTGCACCTGATTTCAAAATCATCACCGCTATGTTCTACTTTCCTATGTTTACCTAGCGGGCTCATTATGCTCTGACGTTTCTTACTAGCGAGGTGTTCATTTATCCTTACGCTTAGTGGCCGGCCGGTTTCACCGATGTAAACGGAAGAGCAGCTTGTACATTCGATTTGGTAAACGACGCCAGTTTTTGCGCAGTCACCGGGTCTTCCGTAAGGGCACACTACGCAATCTCGTGTAGCACAGGTTCTGTCGTACAGCCTGTTGCGCACTAGCTGTTTCTTAAGATTATCTCGTGGAATATTTACCAATACAACGTCCTTTTGCAGCTGTGCTTGTGCTAGGCATTGCTTGATTTCGGCAGTGACCCTTTCGGAGATGAAAGGCAAGCACAGAGCTATCCTGTTGATACTCTGTTCGCTTGTCTTTGTCGTGACTCTGTTTGGGCGTTTAAAATGCATCGCATATCCATTTGAATTCATTATTTTAGCCGCAATTTCCAATGATTCTTCTCTTTCAGCCTTGCCACTACAGGTATTCTTTGCCGTTTCGAACATGTTGTGTATAACGGCTCGTTTAACGGCTATCGGATGCGCGGATTTTGCGTGCAAAATGATGTTCTTATTACTCTCCTTGCGGTACCATTTAATGCGCACCGAGCCGCTAGCCACCATCAATTGTGTGTTCAGGAACGGAAGCCAACCGTCTCGTGGTCTTTCTCTTGTTAGGCTTATGTACTGCGATTGTTGGTTTAGTAGTCTGAAGCACTCGTCCATTTCGGACTGAGTTGCAGTAACGATACAACAATCGTCAATGTATCTGCAGTACATAAGCGGGCTCCTGGCTAGCACTGGTTGTTCTATTTTGCTCATGAAGCAGATTGCCAATACGGGTGCTAGCCTTTGGCCCATTGCCAGCCCTCTAATTTGTGCAAAATATCTCCCAGACCACTTGAAGATATTGCAGCTCAAGCATTCCTTGATGAGCGTTATGATGCGCGTCTTGCTGAGACCGTACATCAGCATGGTTTTAGCATGCGAGTCCAGCATCTCAGATAGTGCTTGCAAGGCGCTCTCAATGGACACATTAGTATACAAAGAGGTGACATCAAACGACTCATACGCGCAGTTCTGGTCAAAGTTCGTCTGCCGCAAAAGCTCAAGGAAATGACTGGTGCTGCTCAAATGGGCTGGTATCTTATTCAAGAGCTGACTGGCAATTTTATGGAGGAACCATGATATTCGATCCGTTGGCCCGTTGGTACAGCTGATGATGGGTCGTATTTTGTACGACTTGGCGGACACCGACTGCATATCGCGCAAGGAGAGTTTATGCGTTTTAACTAGTCCATAGAAGACAGGGCACGTGGGGGTTTCCAGTTTCAGCCTACTAAGAAACTTTTCGTGAAGACCTGCTTCTCTACCTATCAACGTCCATACATGATTCAACCTCTTGCTTTGTGCAAGAAATTCCCTCTCATTTGTTGGTTGATAGATAGTTCGATCTGACAAATGTTCTTCAGTTATCGCGCGGTCAAGATCCTGTGGCATGACTACAAATTCTCCACCTTTGTCGCTGACCGAAAGGCGAATAGTGCCATTATTAGTCAGTTCCCTTATTTCTCGAAAACCCTGCTCTTGCGCGCGTGTCAAGTTAGATCTTCTTATGTTTTTGTTGTTATTGAGAATTTTCAATATGCCCAACGAAAGTATACGGAACTTGGTGTCTGCAACAGCATAAGGTTCAGGCTCTTTGTAGAATGAAGACGGAAATGGGATTGATGGTAAGGTCCTTCTACTAAGAGCATCAGACGTTTGCATTTGGTCGTCATGCCTCAATTTAACTCGTAGCTGGTCTCTAAATCGTTGCAGTGAACCCAATACGCTGCGATATGTTCTGGCTGTTATATTCTGGGTTGGTGCGAAAGAGGGTCCTAAACTCAGAAATTCAATAGCATTTTGAGAAATCTGAGCTTGACCTAGCACAGTGACTCTTGCCGTTCTTTCGTTTTCAGATCGAGCAGTTGTATTGTGAGTGTGAGTAACTGGCGGATTTCTATCTACTCCCAAAAGACTCTGCTTACCTTCGCCCGAGAGTTTTTCGAATTTTTCGCAAAGTCGGGATTTGATTTTGGAGCGCAAAGAGTCGCATATCTGTTTTGACTCGCTTTCGATCCTCAGCCAAATTGTATCACACAGATAACGACGACAATGTTCTTCTTTAGTTTTACATTTCAGCAAGTTCGTGTATAGGATGCGTTGCTTCTCCTTGATCACTACTTTGAGGATGTTCATATAAAGTCCGCGTATCCTTGAGTGATCTTCCGGTAAGCCGCAAGTCAATCCTAACTTCTTATTTGCAATGAAACGTGGGACTAGTCCGGTCAATTTGCAGCGTTTGAGGAAAATTAGTTGTTGTCGAGTGACGACGACCTTTTGGCGAAGAGCTAACGTTTCGCGTACTAATGAGGACATGTTTGGCGGTACGACAGAAATTATGTCAAAAGTCCTCCTTTCTTGTAACCTGGGCATTCTAGTATAACTTCACTTAATCTTCTGTGCCGTACAGTTTTTTAACGATGACACACTTTATTGCCTGACGTTTCGGTTACACACCGTCTTCAGAGGCCTGGAAAGGTGTCAGTCACATTGATATTACTCTACTTGCTGCCAAGCCCTTCTCCCATCTGCGCACTCGATTCGTCTAGGATGAAGATCGAGAGGCTGGGCGTAGAAATCTACCCACCGAGTGTGTCACCAGTAGCAGTGTTATCTGCTTCAGAACTTGCTCGATGGACTGCAGTGACGAAATGAGCAGTCGGAACACTCTGAGGCTGCT